GTGTAAGTGATGGAAAGTTTAGCTCTTTTTACTGATTGTGATCTTTTCGACTCATTCAGGCAAAATAACGAATCTTTCGACTAATTCTATTCATTTGAATCTTTAATGCCCAGAGCACGCAAGACCCCCTACCGGCAAATGATGAACTGAGGACTCAAAAGTGTTATGATTCTACAAGCCTCTCGTTCAAATGTCATTGGAGCTGTCATTTGTGACTGAGACTTGTAAAAGTGTGCTTTAAACTATGTACATTTGTTGATCGCTAGTTATACAAATATGATTATTTCTTGGTACATGTCTGTTTCTTCTCTATGCTTCCTGCAGCATGATCTATTTTCCTGTGTGCATATATGACAGACAGTTCTTGGTCGGAGCATGTCTCTGGACTAGAGCTCCTGAGCCGGAGGAGCGTATATCAATCATGCTGTAGGACTCATTGCGGCCAGCAGGTCAAGCAAATTACTAAAATGAACAAGTCATTAAGAAAAACGAATAATGACTCTCGAGTCAGTAAAAAGAGTTGTTCAAAAATAATTAATCGTTTGCGAACTGCACATCACTACTGTATGTGCAGTACTCATTCAGAGTTTTGTAACAGTATTATTGAGCTATACAATATCAATACAACAGTAACAAATGATTTATTCTCACTCTTGGTTCATACTGCCTGATGTAGGTATAGCTACAGTAGCCAGCTTGCCAGGTTAAATAATGCCATATGAATTACAATGCTGGTCTGTTTTCAATTAGTGGTATTTAATCCATAATTTACAGTTGAAACTGAGCTTTCAAAGCGAATAGATTTCTTGGTGTATACCATGCTCTTAGCTAGTGTTACCTAGAGTAACACTAGCTAAGATAAAAACATTGCCATCAAAATCCCTCTGTTTAAGCTCGAAACTATCTGAGACTCTCACGAACGTGTTCTACGTTTTACTCTATGACACCCACAAGCTTCACGGGCCTCATGTCAAGTCGCTGATGTCGGCATTCCAACAAAAACGTCTGTCATGTCCGAACGGTTTGAGCTATAGACTATGACCCAACCATCGAAAGCTGAGACTCTCACGAACATGAACATGTTCTTCGTTTTGCTACGACGCCTACAAGCTTCACGAGACTTGTCTGAAGACAACCCGGTACAGACCGGTAGAACATGAATGAAAATGAATAGGATTTTTTGGAACCAGTGTTTTATGCTTTCCGATATCTCTCAGATGCATCTCAGACACCTCAAACCATACATCCTTTTGATTTATTTTTGGACTATCTGTTTTGCCATGTATGAATGTGTTATTCAATGCGTTTCTATGGGCTAATAGCAGTAAGGACAAATTCGATGTTTCATCAAATATACAATGCATTTGGAAAGTATTCAGACCCCTTGACTTTTTCCACATTTTGTTACGTAACAGCCTTATTCTAAAATGTATTAAATTGTTTTTTTCCTCATCAATCTACACACAAAACCCCATAATGTCAAAGCACAGGTTTTTATAAATTTTTGTAAATGAAAAAAAAGAAAAGAAAATGAACTATCACATTTACATAAGTATTCAGACCCTTTACATTTTAGTCATTTAGCAGACGCTCTTATCCAGAGCGACTTACAGTTAGTGAGTGCGCACATTTTCATACTGGCCCCCGTGGGAAACGAACCCACAACCCTGGCGTTGCAAGCGCCATGCTCTACCAACTGAGCTACAGGGGACTTTACTCAGTACTTTGTTGAAGCACCTTTGGCAGCGATTGCAAACTCGAGTCTTCTTGGGTATGACGCTACAAGCTTGGCACACCTGTATTTGGGGAGTTTCTCCCATTCTTCTCTGCAGATCCTTTCAAGCTCTGTCAGGTTGGATGGGGAGCGTCGCTGCACAGCTATTTTCAGGTCTCTCCAGAGAAGTTTGATCGGTTTCAAGTCCGGGCTCTGGCTGGGCCACAAGGACATTCAGAGTTGTCTTGACTGTGTGCTTAGGGTCATTGTCCTGTTGGAAGGTGAACCTTCGCCCCAGTCTGAGGTCCTGAGCGCTCTGGAGCAGGTTTTCATCAAGGATCTCTCTGTACTTTGCTCCGTTCATCTTTCCCTCGATCCTGACTAGTCTCCCAGTCCCTGCCGCTGAAAAACATCCCCACAGCATGATGCTACCACCACCATGTTTCACCGTAGGGATGGTATTGGCCAGGTAATGAGCGGTGCCTGGTTTCCTCCAGGCGTGACGCTTGGCATTCAGGCCAAATAGTTCAATCTTTGTTCTTCATCAGACCAGAGAATCTTGTTTCTCATGGTCTGAGAGTGCCTTTTACTGAGGAATGGCTTCTGTCTGGCCACTCTACCATAAAGGCCTGAGTGCTGCAGAGATGGTTGTCCTTCTGGAAAGTTCTCCCATCTCCACAGAGGAACTCTGGACTCTGTCAGAGTGACCATCGGGTTCTAGGTCACCTTCCTGACCAAGGCCTTTCTCCGCCGATTGCTCAGTTTGGCCAGGCGGCCAGCTCTAGGAAGAGTCTTGGTTGTTCCAAACTTCTTCCATTTAAGAATGATGGAGGCCACTGTGTTCTTGGGGACCTTCAATGCTGCAGGAATGTTTTGGTAACCTTCCCCAGATCTGTGCCTCGACACAATCCTGTCTCGGGGCTCTACGGACAAATCCTCTGACCTCATGGCTTGGTTTTTGCTCTGACATGCACTGTCAACTGTGGGACCTTATATAGACAGGTGTGTGTCTTTCCAAATCATGTCCAATCAATTTAATTTACCACAGGTGGTCTCCAATCATGTTGTAGAAACATCTCAAGGATTATCAATGGAAACAGTATTATAAATTCCAAATCAAATAGATCCATGGTATGGCCATCTTAAAACAATTCCATATGTTAGCTTAGTAGAAACCCCCCCTACTGTAAACACAGCCCTTACATAGCTGCATGCTTAGCTTTTCAGTCGCAGTAAATGCACGGTTCATTTCCAAGGAGTCTGCTACGAAAATGGGAATAAATGGATGTCAATTTCCATTTTAAATTGGTAACCAATGATCCATTGAGACAGCCTTTCTACCACAGACAGACAGAATAACTGGAATTAGAACAGCCTGACATTTTAGTTAATTGCACTAAGCATGCCACCTTCGCAATAACCTCCAAACCAGGTTCAATTAAGTCTTCACCTTCCAGACAGTTTCAAATGAGAGCAAAGACCACTTAAACAGCGTTATGAAACAGGAGAGGCATGATAGTCTGTAGAAGTCTTTTGAGACAAGTTCCTGTTGGAAAGTCACATTGGGTAATTACATTTTGTACACTAAGTTCTGTCTCTGTGCTCAATTTCTTTTTTTCAATTAGACATATTTCTTTCCTCATCTTCACTCTAATCTTCATAATTGGCAGGCTCTTCAATACTCTTTGCATCTAAATGCATTTCCATGCAGACGTCCATGAGAAGCTTACTTCATTGTACATTGATTGGACATTCATTCATTCATTGGTTTTTACATGTTGTTTGTTTAGGATAATCCAGGATTTGGATTAATCACAAATCTGCAAACATCCCAATTAATTGAGGCAATTAATTTAGTTGCATTTGTCAGAGGGCTCAGGCAACAATTAGCACTATTAATATGATCTTGTCAGATGTCAGCCTAGCACATGTAATGGCATCTTGCAAGCTGTTCTTCTTATTCATATCAAAGCAAATGCCTGAAATGGGCCCTGAAGTCTTATAGCCTTGTCTATCTCTACGGGATCGGTGTCCCGTATACGGGACGGTTGAGCTAATGTGCGCTAATGTGATTAGCAAACTTTCCAGGACAGACATGTCTTATATGGGCAGAAAGCTTAAATTCTTGTTAATCTAACTGCACCGTCCAATTTACAGTAGCTATTACAGTGAAAAATACCATGCTATTGTTTGAGGTGAGTGCACAACAACAAAAAACGTATCACGGCAACTGGTTTGATACATTCACCTCTGAAGGTAAATAATGTACTAACATTCAGTAATCTTGCTCTGATTTGTCATCCTAAGGGTCCCAGAGATTAAATGTAGCATAATTTTGTTTGATAAAATCCATGTTTATATTCAAATGTAGGGAACTGGTTCTACAGTTTGAACCCCTGCTGTCTCTGGCTCCACACCCACCCCCCCATCTAGATGTGTGAAAGTTAGTGTATAAGCTAATGATCCATCATGTATGACATTCCTGGGAGTGTGTAGACTTACATTTTGTATTACCATATCATTTTTGTATGTTCTCTATAGTTATGTACTTGAAAATGTATCAATTGACCAATTCGGCACATTTGGGCAGACTTGATACAAAATAGTCCAGTATTGCAATGCTTCACTGGATCAACCTGAAACTTTGCACACACTGCTGCCATCTAGTGGCCAACATCTAAATTGTGCCTAAACTGCAATATTATATTGTGGCCTTTCTCTTGCATTTCAAAGATGATGGAACAAAAACAAAAATAGAAAACGCATGTTATGTTGTTTGTATTATCTTTTACCAGATCTAATGTGTTATATTCTCCTACATTAATTTCACATTTCCACAAACATCAACGTTTTTCCTTTCAAATGGTATCAAGAATATGCATATCCTTGCTTCAGGTCCTGAGCTACAGGCAGTTAGATTTGGGTATGTCATTTTAGGCGAAAATTGAAAAAAAGGGTATGATCCTTAAGAGGTTAAGGGAAGGACTGAATTCATTCTGATCATTCTCAAAGAGATGGATTCCTTTGAAAATGATTGGTTGGTTGATAGTTTGATATTTAGCGTGCCACAATAGAATGAATTACCTAGATTGGTCATTCTTTATGCAATGACTGTAGGGGTCTTATGAGCCATATATAGATACGCTATTACTTTAGACTTTACTAGTTTCTGTAATGCATTCTGATCATGACTGAATGTCAAAGTCAAATAAATGGAAATTATATACATGGGGAAAGATTGTTAGTAGTAATGTACAAATGAATAATAAGAACAGGAATTTCCATTTTAAAAGCAAAACGTTTATTCATGTTTGAAATTACACATAACTACCACAAGGAAGACTTTTCAGTCCAGGGTGTAGTCGGGTTAGAAAGAAACACTAAACATTTTTAATACGTTAGAATCACTGCCACAAATCATTTTCCATGACTTTATCAGTTTCAGAATCACATACAATACAAAAAAGAGAAAGAAAGTTTGAACCCTGTCAAACAGAGCTTGAAATGTACAGTTCTGAATACTGAAACCTCTATGCATTACAGTTTTTATAATGATTTTTTGTGTGAATTAGTAACAAGATGAGCAACATTCAAAATGTTCTTCAGTATTTACAACAGTTTTACTGTTTGTTGTTAATTTATGACCAACATTCTCCTAGCGCCTCCCTCAAAATCCACCAATTAACAATTTTGCACCTCTCCCTCTTATTTTTAAAAATGCCTTTTTTTCTCCCTCATTATTCTTAGTATTAATTTATTGTTAACATCATACATTTTCTTGTTTTTGTCTTTTTAAAGTTGCTACAAAGCAACATTATTTTCTTAAGATTAAAATATACATTAGATTACATGAACAAAAACAAAGAGTTCATTACACGATGTAATCAAAACCACTAAATAAAAATGTTAAATAAAAAGACAAAAACTATGGTGGTGATATTGTTTAGAGGTAGTAAGTGAGCACTCTAAGCTATAGAAATGTTGAAAATCTATTGGTTTCTATGAGTTTGAATGAGGTAATAAAGCTGTGTATTGATTGGTGGGATGTATAAATACTCTTAAGCTATATTATATACAACATATTTTGTGTGACTGGTATCTTGTCACATGCCAAAAGGAAGTGCTATAACTGGTTGGATTTACTGTTAGACCCATGACTATTTCAACCAATAGCCAAAAATAACATATTTGAATATCACATGACTTTCACCTCACACAGAATGTTAAACTATATAAAGTTGTCATTATGCTTGAAGATTTTGTCCCAAAATACAGTGTTATCCCATTAGTCTTGTCAATGAAAGGACTGCATGTCAAACTGGTGGTTGTAAGGCAAAACTAATATTGAAAGCAACTCTCCCAATCTGCCAGTGAGTTTACAACAGTAGCATATCTTATTTGTTGCACTCCTTGCATTCAGTGATGGAACTGCTACTTTGTTAGTCAATATACAGTAGGTAAGATACCAAGAGCCAAGGGAATTAACTGATCTAAAACAAAACACAAAATATATAAAAAAGATATATATTGCATTTCAAAACCAAAACATTTTAGAATGCATATGACAACACCAAATGCCATCCACTCAGGAATAAATTCAGCTTGGGGAACATCACTTCTTAAATCAATTGTCAATTGAAATTAATGTTGCGCATTAAAGATATGGGCCTTGTTTGATTGGTATATGTATGTGCTTACCCCTTCAAATGACAAACATAAACTAGAGCAATGGTGAAATATAATCATGAGACTGATGGAGTTTGAGCGAAGACTTCACTGAACTACCAAGAAAACATCAGGTGTCCATATTGTAGAACATCATTGTGAGGGGGGGTTGAGGACTCTGGTAGATGTAGCAGACAATTAGTTCTGAAAAAAAGTTTATCGTCTCTGGTTGGTCAGTCAGTGAAAGTTCAGGCTCTACAGCTTGGGGATCAGATGCATCGATAACAGATCAATTCGAGGTATCAGAGTGCACACTTCCAGGTCCTTCTGTCGGGGAGATTACAGAAGATGGAGTCATTGCATCGTGCCATCCCCCATTAGCCTAGGAAGGAAGCAGAAGAGAAGGGCTCACAATGAAATACTACAAATGAAAGAAGTCCATGTTAACAACCTAATGGTTTTGTAAGGAACCTCTATTTGTAATCAAGACCAGTTATTCCCCCAAAGACGTTTTCATGTGAGGCAGAATAAGATGACTCTGTACAATAAAATATATTTAGTAATACAGTAATACCAAAATACAGGTAAAAGAGTAATTCTCATTGTGTACAGTATGTTTGTGTACATATGCTCATTTACTAATTATTAAATAAAAAGAGTATAACTGGAAAGCCAATGGCCATTCACTGCATTATACTAGCATCAGCCATGAGACTCTTAGAAACAAATTTGCCTTATGCCTCAGCCAATGGGAGCGATCCCTGAAATCAATGTCTAATCAGATTTCAGCAGTGGCAGACAGCTTGTCGCTACATATTCTTATGTCAGTCAGGAAGAAGGAAGGCTGGGGCTGGGTGAGGTGGGGAATGCTGAGTGGAAGTGACGGGGCAGGGCCTTTCCAAGAGAGCCAGTCTGAGCCAGCCTGACTCCGCTTGGCTCGCGGCAGGGACTAGCCTTTGCTGGATCCCCTTCGTCACCATCAACAAAACAAAAGGTTAGCGTATGCTAATTTATCTATGATGCACTTCATTATCAAAACAATCCGTCTGCATTACTGTACACTGGGGGCTCTAGCACTCGTGGTTCATTGGTGGAATTAGTATTTTGACGATTTAGATCGCCTGGAATAGGTCAATAAATAGCTTTATCTGGTCTGCTTTGTCACAATGTCGGTACTGCATTGAAATAAGAGTATTGCTGTATGAGAAGACCTCTCCATCTCTTTAAATGAATTATCCAAAGCATGTTTTCATTGTTGCCTGGATGTTTTTCCTCTTTTTGCAGGTGCCATTATTGGATGTGTTGACTTGCCAGTAATGTTGTATTTCAGAGCTTATGTTTGTGTGGTGATTAATTGAGCTCTGGCCTAAACAGTGAAGGAAAGTGAGAGAGTGAGAAACACTTCAGTTGAGCCTGCTCGAGGTTGACACTTCTTCTAAAGGCCTGCGGGCTAAAGGCTACTCAACAAAACCAAAATGACACCAAACGCCGTCCAGGACACTAATGACAGACTGTGTTAACTTTTAGCAAGTGTTTGTGCTTGCTTACATGGTAACCCCCCGAGAGAAAAAACAGTGTGATCATTTAATATACTTCCAAATATGTATCCCACTTTTATACAATGAATTGGGATTTTGAGTGATTGTCAAGTATGGAAAATAAAACATCTAAACGGTTGGCAAAGGTTGGCAATGTCAAAAGTATTAGGTTCACCTCTTTGCAGTACTGAAAATGTATAACTTTTATATGTCTCTATCAGAATTGACATATTAGTTCATGCTATTAAAATGCCCTTCAATAACAATAGCTGTCAAGTTGTTAAACTGAAAATAACCGAGCCTTCACATCACTACTGTCCCAACCATGGCAACATGAAGACAACAAATGGGAATAGTTTCTCTCTGATATTGCAAAGGGAAATATGTCAGTAACCATTTCTCTCTCCCTCCCTCTGCCTCTATCCTTTCTCATCAAACAAATTCATCTTTACTCTGATGGCTTCAGATTATGCACTGTGTTACAAAAAAGCACCATATCAGCCCTCATCAACGAAGATGGAATTCACGTCTGGAAAAGGCTGCAGGCAATCTCCCTTTCATATTTTATCATGATGATAAGGATATGGTAAAGTCTCTGAAGCATTTCTAAACAGCTAAACTAAACATAGAGATACAACTAAAAGCCTACTTATTTCATTTTGGTTTCAGTCACATAAGGTATTACAAGATGTTTATATAAGCAAAAACGGGGGGATTTTAAATGAAATGTATTTTTATTCCACCTGCACTATGATCTAGGTGTGTTTTATTAAACTCTGCTTTTATCCTCCTGCAATGAAAATGTGACAACATTTCTACAATCTCTAATCTCCTATGTCACATGTTTGCTCCATCCTTTAAGAAGCTCAATCACTTGCTACGGCAGTGCTGAATGGAGTTTCTCACTTCCCTGGCTCACTGCGCTCAGATTACCCAGCTGCTACTATCTATTCTCACTATGTTCCTGACATCCTAGATTTCCATTAAACCTTTTAAAGTAACATTCAACACTTTTTTCTAAGAAAAGAAAATGTATAACGGGTCAAGAAATAAAATAAATTAGTGCAATTCATTTGCCTAAGATATCACTTTTATCACACAGTGGGCAGCAATGCGGGGTGTTCTGTATCTGAGCTAAGCTTGCTACCATAATGTGTCTAATGTTTACAGTAGAATGGATCCAGTTTGGACAAGGTCTGCTCAAGGTACTGTAATTAACCACGGTCTCCAGAATGGTACCTACAGGAAGAGAAAACCGAGACACTTACATTCAAGCAATTTGGGCTGTACATAGTGTTCCCCCCCAGAGCTTCACTGTATCCTGCCGTCTGACTGATAACATGGCGCAGGGTATCCACCTGTGGGGAGAGAGAGAGTGGGCATGGCTGTCAACACACTGTGGGGGTTTACATGAACACACATGCTCAATGCCACATTTAAAATCATACAGGACTTACTCCATGTGGAAAGGGACTATGAGACACAGACAACACATTAACCAGACTAACCTCTCCATGGTGCTATGATGGGTGTGTGCACTATCCAATGTATTTAGAGTATATCCACTGTTATCTAGATGTTGGCGCAAATGTCTACTCTACCTATAGCTATGTGGAAAGTTATTGTGGAAAATGTCTAAATTCTAACATTGAGACATACCATTGGGAAAAGCATGGCCACACTATACACATACAGTATTCAAACACACAACAATGTGTTTTGTTAACAAAACCATACGCACAAACAAATAGGGGGGAGGAATACATCAGAATGGACATAATGATGCGGACATATGGACAATACAGTTGTATTGTATGGACATGATTCATATGTTCTTTAAATTGTTAAAGCCATAAGTCTCTAGTTCTAACGGGTTCATTTGACATGCGTATGGTTATGTTCCTCTATGTGTCTCTGAACCTGAAGAAATAACATAATGGATGACAACAACAACAACAACAATATACAACACAACCAAAATGAGACAAAGACAGGAAAGGATACAAGAGAGGTATGTAGGGAAGCATAAAACCCAACACCAACCCAAGAGCTCAAGTCAAAGCCAAATGCATTCACAAAATGGAAACTTCAATCGAGTCTGTTACAGATGAAATAAATCCATTTTCTGGAGGCTTTTAGAAATAATTGTTGATAGCAATGGGGTGGGATATTTTTAGGTAGGCCAGAATATTCCATCCAAAGCGAATTACAGTCAGTAAAAAAGAAAATGTAGCTCACAGTGTTGCTCACTTTTGCAGAATAGACCTGACTGTGGGAATTTGAGCTGGCCCAATGTGGGCAGCATGTCTTAGTTACTGTACTTCAGACTGCACTGTGGATGGCTCAGCACACAGGCAAAACTGGGACGGCTCTGTGCATTTGCACACAGGACCTGTCCCTGTTTTTGGCTCCTACCTGTGACTGCACATTGACTCCGACTTGTGCCCCTTGGTAAGAATCCCCATTCAGAGACTGCATGCTCAAGAACATGTCCCCAGAGTTTGGGAGGTTAAAAGAACCTGAAGAACCTGGAAAGGGAAGATGTAAGTAGCTGAATAACTATATAGAGGGCTACGAGGGAAGAGTAAACACTAACTAAACACACACACAGAAAGACACAAACGTAGAAACAATCTACTGTACATAGGAACACAACGCCCACTACTACACTCAGTTACTAGATTCCCAGAAAGTAAGCAACTACAAAAGTAAAGGACGGAAAACAAGGAAATACAAGATAGAGGAGAGGATTATGGTCATGTCAGAACTCTGAGAAGCTATACTGATTTTCCACAAAAAGGAGGCAAAACAAACAATGAAAGTCACATGACACAAACAGAGATTCAATATGTGGCTGGTCGCTTTAAGCTCCCAATTTGTTCCACATCCCATAATCCCTGTCTACTGTTAGTGGGGAAATATCATATGCCAATGACAAGGACAATAAGAAGCTTATGAAAAGAGCAGTACCAGTAAACATGTTGGTTAAAAGAGTGTTTTTGCTCTCTGCAGAGTCCAGCTGAAATTCTTCATCTTTCATCTGGAATCCTGGGTGCAAGAAAAAGGGGACCACTTCAAATAGCTATCGCTTACCAGATCACATCCCCTTGTCACGTCAGCCAAGTCCAAAATCACAGTCATTCTCCTGGACTATACATTGTGTTGGATGACTTTGTATTATCATTTGTGAGTCCTATTCATTAATAATTGTGTGCATTATTGTTGTTATTCCACATTGGTTACCTATTCAGAGTCTACTGTAACTGCTCCCAGCTATTATTTTTAATCTCTCTTAAAATAAAATGTACTAACATACATTGGAACTACAGTTTGACAAATTAGAGGGGGGTTTGAGGAAAAGTCAAGGGAAAACAAAACCTCAGTGACATCATTTTGAATTGTCTTTTTCCCAGAAATACATCTGTTCTCGGTTCACAAACCAAGAACGCACTCTTTATGCATGAGTTTGCTTGTCTTATTTGGCATCGACTGTCTCAAAGACAGGAGACTGTGATCCCCAGGCTGGGAGCAGTGCCTGTCACTCCTGCCTGAGTGAATGGTGCGTGAGTGGGGGTGAGGCATGGGGGGGCTGGGGGCTGAGGGCTGGGGTTGGATGGCAGAGTTAGGGCCTGCACAGGGGTGCCTACCGGAGTTGGGTGTGGTAGGGGAGTTGGTCTGGCTGTTCTGCACTGCGGCGGCCACTGCATGCGCTGCTGTAACTGCAGTCTTAGCAGCGTACAGGTTAGCTTCTTCCTGGAACTTGCCTATGTTCTTCTTGTACCGGATTCTCTTGTTGCCGAACCAGTTGGATACCTGGGGGAGAAAGCAGAGGGAGAGCCGAGGTGTCAGACGTCAAGCAGCCAAGGCACTGTGCACTGAGCAGTGTGATTGTTTCAAGACGTTTAGGTCCATCAAGTACCCAATTCCCAGCCCCTGCAGTAATGTCCACTGGGTATGCAGGCTAATTAAGCAATAATCAGGAATCACTTGTGCGTTTTCATAAAAGGGAGCATGACATGCTCTCTGTTTGTCTCTTGACAAAGCCAACACACCAGGGGTTGCTCGTCTCCCACAACACAAACTGAAAAGTTCTCCTGACTGTATTACATTGCCAGGCCTAGTGTTAAGGAAACACGTTCTGTTACTATACTCAAAGAAATGTATAGACTTGTTTGCTTCTGCATTGGTGGTAGAACTTGCTTGTGTCTTTAACAGATACACAGATTAATATTAATGAAGAATATTGCATACTACATCAGTGCAGAGCATCAAACCCATGGCTGGCCACTGCACATTCTGTCAGCCGGCCTGCAAAACACAGGACACAGGCATTGTGGTGCTATGGTGAGGTCAACGAGTAACCGTGAGACCTACCGTGCCTTCAGAAAGTATTCACACGCCTTGACTTTTCCCACGTTTTGTTGTGTTACATCCTGGATTTTAAATTAATTAAATTGAGATTTAGACCAAGGAGGTTCTCCAATGCCTCACAAAGGGCACCTATTGGTAGCAGACATTGAATATCCCTTTGAGCATGGTGAAGTTATTAATTACACTTTGGATGGTGCATCATTACACTCCTAACTCAGTTGCCGGAGAGGAAGGAAACCACTTAGTGATTTCACCATGAGGCCAATGGTGACTTTAAAACAGTTTCAGAGTTTAATGGCTGTGATAGGAGAAAACTGAGGATGGATCAACAACAATTGTAGTTACTCCACAATACTAACCTAAATGACAGAGCGAAAAGAAGGAAGCCTTTACAGAATAAAAACTATTCTAAAACATGCATCCTGTTTGCAATAAGGCAATAAGTAAAACTGCAAATGTGGCAAAGAAATTAACTTTATGTCCTGAATGCAAAGCATTTTGTTTGGGGCAAATCCAACACAACACATCACTAAGTACCACTCCATATTTTCAAGCACAGTGGTGGCTGCATCATGTTATGGATATGCTTGTCATCGGTAAGGACTACGGAGCATTTTAGGATAAAAAGAAACGGAATAGAGCTAAGCACAGGCAAAAGCCTAGAGGAAAACCTGGTTCAGTCTGCTTTCCAACTGACACTGGGAGACAAATTCACCTTTCAGCAGGACAATAACCTAAAACACAAGGCCAAATATAGACTGCAGTTGCTTACCAAGATGACATTGAATGTTCCTGAGTGGTCTAGTTACAGTTTTGACTTAAATTGGCTTGAAAATCTATGGCAAGACTTGAAAATGGCTGTCTAGCAATGATCAACAACCATCTAGCAAATATTGTACAATCCAGGTGTACAAAGCTCTTAGACTTACCCAGAAAGACTCACAGCTGTAATCACTGCCAAAGGTGACATGTATTGACTCAGGGGTGTGAATACTTATGTAAATTAGATACATTATGTCTGTATTTGATTTTCAATACATTTGCAAACATTTCTAAAAACATGTTTTCACTTTGTCATTATGGGGTATTATGTGTAGATGGGTGAGTAAAAATATATTTAATCAATTTCGAATTCAGGCTGTAACGCAACAAAATGTGGAATAAGTCAAGGGGTATGAATACTTTCTTAAGGCACTGTATAACATAACATTTATGAGGAACTTTTGCATCCATATGAAATACAAATCTCAGGACAATGTTTGCTGTGTCTCTTTAAATTGAAACCTGAAACCTCACTTTAATGATACTAGTAAATGCTAACATTAAAAGCTTCTAGATTTCTATAGTGCAGTTTCTATATTTACATTTCTACATTTCAATATTTATATTATATCACTATGACTACTACTTCACTATTACTGCACGGTGATAGAGATAAAACCGTCTAACCTCATAGTAGAAAGAAAGAAAGATTGACATTTTCTTTGCATGGGGTAAAACCAGTGTGTGAATGCTGGCTCTGCAATAATAGTGGAATAATAATGAGATTAGGGTTGTGTTTTAATAGGCCTATAAATTAGAGTGGCCTGTCGCCGTGCTATGGCTCCCCTCTCAACTCCTACAGCCTGCTGCCGGACCAGCCAAAGAGCATCTGCCCCTAATGAAGCTTTATTTAATTTCCACCCCTGCGCTTACATTTTAATATCTCCAGCAGCCCGCCAATACTGCAGCAAGCACAAACTGACTGGATTTGCATGACATCAGATCTTTCTATCCTGCATGTCTCTGTGCTTCTAAATCTTTAATATCTAGGCAATTAAAATTAATGACCATTCAGGCGAAGCCACTGTTGGCATGGTTTCCTTGACATCAATTGTTTGATGGGTTTACCTAGAGGTTAAACTAACAAGCAAGGTTTAATTGGATGCAATGAAAGCCCTAGCCATCATCCTTTTTACTTAACCTGCTTACAGTGGATTTTAAGAGCAGACAGGATGCAGGCAGTCTCACCCTTTGAGCCAGATCACCAACAGCACTGCAGACCATAGAAAACCTCTCTCTGAGTGGTATCATTAATGGGATATTACTGTATATATTTAACAGGAAACAAAAACACATTACCCTGCTTTGAGAAATCACTTTAAGGCAAATGCAATGACATTGTTATATTTTAGTAAATGCAGAACTAAATAAAGTATACAATTATCATTATTACAGTTAATTAAAATAAATGCATATAATAACAGTGATGATTCTGCGGTATAGTACTTGGGCTAACATTTAAGAGAGAAAAAACAAAACATAGATAAAAAAAAGCATCCAGCCAGCTCTCTAAAGCCTCTGGCCTGTTTCATCGAATAGTAATGGCTAAACTGAGCTGCTTGTCTGTCTGTGCTTCTGGGTAATGGCTGGAGCTGCCTTTAATCCATCCTTTATGAAAACACATGGAGGACCAAGGCTGATGCCGTATACCCGTCTGCTTCAATGGCATCTATGGGCCTCACAGCGCATCATAAAAAAGTCACTTATCAGCAGCGCTGTGTTAACACAAGGGCCACAATATAATGAAAACTACCCAACACTTTTATGTATCCCATCTACATGGCATTATAGTGCATAATAAACACAATGATTATGACACTGAGCTTGGATTAGCAATATATGAGAGGCCTTTGAACATTTTTATACTCGTAATCATCATCATTGTGACTATCACTGGTTTTGGATGTGCTATAGTTCTACTGGTGCTGAACGTGGTGATGGGAACAGTAGTTCTCAGACATATTATTGATAATAATTCACTATCCAGTATTCAACAGTGTTACATGAATGCTTGAAATAGAAAAGCATTACAATCAATTAATCAAAAACAGAATTGCTTTGACAGATTGTATAATGGTGAAATGGTATTTAATATATCAGTATATCAGTTTGTGATGACCTGGTCAGTATTATTCTATTATTCAGGACAAGCTGTTATGACTGTATTTAACCACTGTTTGGTGTTGTTAGATTGCACAGCCTCAGCAGTGTTAGTATCACCTCGCCTGGGTATTAAGGGGCCACTTCCTCTGATCTACACACATTTTTCTCCTGCCCACTGAACTCTGGCTTTGGTGATTCACAGGTTGCGCTAAACATTGTGTAAATGCAGGCACCATCAGGTAGGGACCACAACCCAATCCACAGAACTAATTCCCTTTTATCTTGTGGCAGACCGTGCATTCAATTGACTTCCCTATGTAGTGGGAGCCAGGTTGAAAGACTGAATTACCTGACCTCAGCAGCTGCATCAAAGGGAGTGATTGTATACTGGCCATGCAGACTCCTTGCAAGAACACGACACCGGGTTAGTTCTCAGCGACCCACTAGAGAGGGCATGTAACAGTAGTTAATAATCCACTAACATTTCTACCCTATTCCGGGTCAATACACTGCTCTTGTCATTGAAAGGGAATAGATGATCTTTCCAAGATCTCAATACAACTGGATTTATAAGGTCTTCTTGGGGAGACTCTTTAATAAAGCCTCACACTTGGGTCTTAATTATACAGACAAAGGTGGTTTCAGTGGCCGTGCTGCTGCTAATATTATCAATAATAGAACAGAGAACATTAATACTTAACACATTAACCCAAGGCATCCCTCGCACCCTCGCCTAAATATATAATGACCTGAAATATTGATAAGTGTCGCTCAATTGAAGAGTAAGGCTCTGAACTGGGCAACCACAGATTGCGGTGCTGAGTCAGCCCTGTGTTCTGAGCTCTCTCTTTTGTCCGTCTGGAGGGCTGCCTGTCCCAGTCCCTGTCCGTGCCCTGGGAGCAGAGTGCCCCCTCACAGCAGCACTGTCTGGAGATTATATCAATTATGGCCCCTGACACATCCATAAACCAAGACACAAACCACAGCCGTCCAATCCCACACTTTCATTTAGGAGCCCAGTGTCACACATGCAAACTGACAGAGTGAAATAATATGACTGCATCCTGCATTTAGAGGGCCATTGCCTCATGAAGTGAGGTAATCTTTTAAACAACACCATTAGCTCCTTTCGCATCACTGATGGTCACTACAAACAAGCACATTTGGCCTCAGATGGTATAATCCAAGGATATGCTGTTTACTTTACCAGCAAACAAGTCATCCATGCCTTTTATTGGATGATAAGTCCAATTCAGGCTTTTAAGTGTTGGTGCACATGTTTTACAGATCTAAGTTTGGTTACTTTTTTTCAAAACGATGTTCATGCAATGAAACTCACACTCCGTTCCTTCTAGTCAGAGAAGAATATAGTCATTGTATAATGCCCACCCAAACCTACTTAATCAATCCATAAATTAAAGCAGTACATTCCACCTAGACATCTATGATAACCTTCAGGCTGATATTTAATGCTTATTGATTCACATAGTTCTACTACAGTCATTGAAGCTCACCATTACATTTGAGGTGATTTGGAAATACCCAAACACTAAATTTCTGTTCATTCTCTGGATTCACTTTTCTGACTTCACCAGGCTCTCCTCCTATGCTTGATTATTTTCAAATGACAAACTCAAAAAAGGACTTGGCGAAGTCTAACTCAAAAGTAGTCAGTAGGAGTGTCTGCAGTGGCCTAGGCTTGTCAAGGAGAACCCTGCTAATGGGGCTTGAGATGAGTTCAAGTGAATTTCTACATAGACTGATTTGTCCTCCTGTGAACTCCTAAGGTGCCCTGTTTAGTGAAACATTCAGAACAAAGAATTGTTCCACTTGTGAGGGTCAATGTCCACTCCTTCAACTAACATGAAGCACACTGGTAGAAAGCAGAACATTAGACATACACTGCATGTTCTAAAACCAAGAAGGACAGAACTAGCAAATTATCTACAACGAACAAAAAATGCATACTGTGTAGAAAACAAATCATTTGTCTTATAGAAATAACAAAAAAGTTAAATGATATGAAATGAGACATCAAAACAAACACAGTGTGGTGGCATGGGTATCTTGAAATGGTAGTTAACAATCATAACAAATGGTCAAAAGTGAGCTGAAAATACAATGGAAATGTTGTATGATCCCTAGTCTTTGCATATGACTTGCTCACACAATAACGTGTGAGATTCAACAGCAAAATAACACGTTCGATGTATCACAGTGGAGCTTGCTTGGTGCCAAACGTACAGTAAAACTGTAAGCATGGTATGCCTACATTAAAATAGCATCGGATTGATTTTTTATGCCAGGATATCAGTCCATTTGTGTGAGGGAGGGGAGCTGTGTGCAGTGGTAGACTGTGAAGGTGCACATACAGAAACAAATAAAATATACAAAGAATGAAAACAACAACAGTGGATCAGGAGAAGTCATGACATACCTGTGATACTGTGATGGTGCTTCCCACCCCCTGAAGGCAAAAAAGAATGGGCTTTTACAGTATCTGACTGCATGACTACACTCAATATACCCCTCCACACCCCCTCCCCACAGAAAAGAGAGAACATTGCAAATCAGTGTTTATTGTATCGGTTATTCTCAAATTGGAACAACCATGGATTAACATCTGAACTAGAATACATAAATCTAAATGGTTCAAGTTGTAACAATAGTAGCAGAACAGAGTGCAGCATGATAAGAATGTTAAATTGGTTTGGGTGTGGGGGTTGGGTGTGAGAGATTATATTGCCTTCAGGTTAACCCAACTATTAGGCTAAAGGTAAAGTGGGAAAGTCACATAAATTGTCTGTAAAAACAAAATGTTTAGTGGGTGAAGCAGTGTCGTCTCCATGTACAAGCCACTGTGACCACACACGTACACCTTAAAAAAATAATATTTATTTACTGGATAACCTATACTGGTAGACATCCAGTCACCTGGACTGATCGGGCAGACAGAGAGAACACGCATGGCGGATGGGAATGAGAAAGAAAATGGCAGGGGACCCAGAGTTGACAGCTATTGAAAGGCTAACATACTGTAGGCCCAGAGTGGACATATATGGAGGATTAACAGGCCCCGAGTAGATAGCTATGGAGGGCTAACCCACTGTAGGCCTCTGATTGAGGCCAATATTGAGGACACTGACCTCCCCTCCCCATGGCTACTGCTGTGATAGGCTGAACCCACCCTAACTGAGGTGTCATTAGGCTCAATGTCAAGGTAAGATAAAGACATTGGGCTCTGATAGTCCTTCCAGGCTGGTCTGGAGTTGCAGCCAGGGGCCTCATCTACTGCCTTTTCCCCCCTGATTACCCAACAGCCACTGCGTATGAGACAAGGAATCTGCACCCACCTGGGATACTGTGATGCTGCACTTCTTGGCCAACTCCTCTTTGGCTTCTTCACTGGGATATGGGTTGCTGAGGTGCGAGTAGAAATACTCGTTTAAGATTTCCGTCGCCTGCTTGCTGAAGTTTCTCCTTTTCCGCCTGAAAAGTGAACAAAATGAGAGAAAGGCCAAGCAAGCTCATTAGAGAGACCAGCATTAACTCATCCATTTGGAACGGACAAATTGCACAATCAATCTCACACATAAATGGTGAAAATAAGGAGGAATGGGGGTCTGAGAGAGGCGTCAGGAGCGGAATATTGTGTCCTGCTTTCAGCACCATCCTCATCAACACAGACCAAGCCATCCGCCATCCGCCAACCACAAGACCCACAAACACACACAACACAAACACATACAGTACATTGCTTAATTTGGTCTGTTGGTCTCTGATCTCCAGTCCAAGCGTGTAATGTGTAGTGTTTAGTGCAGTGGATGGGCAGGCTTGGTGATGGAGAGCTAGGCCCAATTGCCCAGTCGGAGTGCATCTCAGTACATTATAGAAATCACGACATGCCCAGCTGAGCATTGTTCCTGAAGTGCCACGGCCCCAGGGAACTTCAGTGGGAACAAACCAACTCTAACTAGATCCGGGACCCCTTCTTCCCCCCAGGGCACTACTTACCATGTTATTGAGCATTAACTTATTTTGCCTTGTTTACTGCACTTCACGCGAGCAATGGGAAGCAAATGTGCTTCTGCTTGGTTTGCTTCGGCCCTGAACTTCCTCCCACTCTCCTCAGAGCTCCCCTCCACAAACTGTTTGTGATTACAGTAATCCAAAACACCTGCTGATGTCCTCCACTCCACCAATTACATATGACTTTGTTCCTGCTTCATTTAATCTAAACTGCTTTCAGGTGCTAGCGGATTATTGTTTTGAGAAGATGGCTACAATACATAACGCATGCGCTTTATGGCAAGATCATCTGTGAATATTTGCAGTGTGCTGTTTGACGCTGTATGTTGTGGATTCATTTTTTCCCAGATAGGAAGTGCATTTCTCTAATGTTGTTATTACGATCATATGTCTACATACAGTTCTGTCTCTGGGTACCTTCCTATGCTCCAGGCTAGAAACATTGGTTTTGTGGGTCACAGTCTAAGAAAAGTTTGGGAAGACAGAGAAACACACAGGAACACACACACATATATACACACTGACCTGGCATCAAGGAATCTGGAGCGCAGGATCATGACGGCCTCACAGGTGCTCTGTTTGAGCTGCATCTGGATGGAGCTGAACTTGCGGTGGATGATCCCCACCATGCGCTCGATCTCTTTGGGAGAGATGGGTCGCGTGCGGGACTGCTCCCTCAGCAGGTTCATCACATGGGTGGTGAACTCGTTACACGCCTGCAGAGAAATCACAGAGCACAACCCAGCCCTGTTAGTGTCATCCTGGCTGTATCTTTTAGCTAGGTACAACTCTCTCAGTAGTTGACCCGCATCCCTTGGTTAAAAGCATCTTCACTGATCGTGCCATTGAAAAACACAGCCCAGTATTTATACGACTGCTGAGCACTTCAATGACTTAATAGGTGAAGTCATCTATGAATGCAAATGCCGATTTGCAATTTGGCTTTGGCCCAGCACAGAGAGAATTTAAACAGCTTTTTGTTAAACCAGTAGTTCATACATGATTAATTAGAATAACTCATTTACGTAGTGCACACTTTAGTTCATTACTCTGAGTAAAATTCGTTAAGTATTTACATTTCGATAATTAAAACCTGGAAACACCCCTAGGAAAGATGCATTCACTCCAGGCAGTGTTGTGTGCCCTCTCCTCTCGTCCCCTTCCTCACTCCTCTCAGAGTGCCAAGAGTAAATTAGTCTAATTTACCTCGCCGCCTTGCTGAGGCATCAGTGTTACACCTTTCATTTTCTCCTATAATACTACTCTGTTTTTTTGCTGAAGCTCAACATGGCAGCCTAATGAGTTGATCATATTCTCATTTTACTGCGACGACTGCACTACTCCCCAGACTTTGTTAACGAACCACAAAATATATACATGTTTAAAATATTACAAGGGAAATATTTTGTTCCCGGGTTTGTACTCATGGTGGTTAATATTACTTGCAATCATTCTAGAACATCAGGGCAAAGTGAGAATGAAAAACATCATGCAAGCCTATGAAGCTTAAAGATGTAAAGGTGGTTAAAGGTGTGACTCACACCCACCTGTTCGTATTTCTCCAGCTCTGTATGGTAGATCTGTCTGATCTGGGTGAGTTTGGATCTGTAGTCCGAGTGTTCGATGGAGTTGTCTGAGGCTGCGCCCGAGGCTGCGGCTGCAGCGGCAGCAGCGGCTGATCCGCCCCCTTTCTCTGGTCCTGACACGCCCTCCGCCAGCAGCATGTTGTCCAGGCGCATGAGCTGGGGGTCAGGAGGGTCCTCCTCCTGGGAACCACGGATGCTGAGGCCTGAGAGACAACAGACAGACAGAGAGAGAGAGAGGGGGGGGGGTTTAGACATGATGACATCCAGACCTCCAGACATGACACAGACACAAAGGCGTTTGATAAGTGGGCTGTTTGATAGGGCAGAACCTCCATGGTAACTGAATAATAATATCACTCCGTTATGTGTTTAGTGTTCCTTTTAAACCAGAGGGTGAGTTTGATGGGCTCACCAAGAACCACACCTAGACACATACTCTCAAACCCCTCCATGGCTGACTGGGTGATTTCCATTAGGGTGAAAAACATACAACAGCTCAAATTATGCAGCTTAAGTGCCAGCCTCACAAGTATCGTCTTGTACCGTATCCTGAGCAGTGAGCCACTAAAGCCAAAATGATTTTTGTATAGCACTGGATGTCTGAATTCCGGTATGTGCAAACATTGCAGGGGTAATTAACGCCATTACGTTAGCAGAGTCGTAAAGCTATAGTGCGGCACAGGTAGTCTCCTGTGGGCATGGATTGGGTACCTCCTGTGTATGTGCTGTATTCCTGTTGCCCAAGCCAGGGCCTGCCTTCTTTTATTTACACACTGTGCTGCACACTGTGTGTACAGGGCGCCTTACATGACAGCAACATCCATAAACTGACAAATGCTCAACTGCGAGGTGGCGCTTCTATTCTCCGAAAGGATGCTAAACAGAGGAATATACCTGAAGCATGTCTACCTTTTCGGCATAGCGCAAAGCCTTAAATCCCAATTGTCTCTTTGTTTTCTGAGATTAAACACATATTTGGCATTATTCTACTTCATTTACAACAATCTGCGAGAGCTACTCATAGACAATATATTTATTTTCTGCTAATTGTGCACTTCATTACTGTGCTACTAAGAAATCTCAGGGCACACGCGCGTGCACACACACCCACCCACAAATCGTTGAGTGCTGACTTTTACTATTGTTATCGGGACCTGCTGTTTCTTTTTCTCTTTTCTTTCTTTCCTATCTTTCAACAAATCCTGATTAGCCATCAGTCAGCATAGGAGCACACCTGCAGGCATTGGGAATGTTGCCACGATGGCTGCAAAAGAAAAAAGACTGCAGCAGGTCAGAATTACCAGCCAAATAAACCTGTATTATACAGTCCAATAAATTGATTTTAAAAACTGCACCCAATCTGCAGTATACACTGAGTGCCCACTCAGACGTTATGATTACCAGAGTTGTCTCAATTCAATAATCTGCCTGCGATTCAGGGATTTCCAGCAGCTCATTAAGGCTTCATTAAGATATGGTGAGCCTCTGAATTCCAAATAAGAAGATTAGTGGTTCTATTGTGTGAGGCAGTAGCCTAGCAATCAGAGAGGCCCTCTACCAGACACTGACTGACAGACTGACCCAGCACACCTATTGAGTAGGCACTGGAGTGTGTTAAGTCTTGCTCTCTCTCTCGCTTTCGCTCTCAGACACATAAACACAAAATTGAGCTGAGAACAGTGACACTGTTATGGTCATTTTAAATGAACATGATGTAATTTCTCTCATAACATTCCCCGTTGACATTGGTGTGTTTGATGTGTGTAGCTCAGATGTGGAGATTGTCACGAATTCAGCCGAGGCTGCCCCTCCTCCTTGCTCGGGCAGGTTTCGGCGTTCGTCGTCACCGGCTTACTAGCCACTACTGCTCCATTTATCATCACTCCATTTGTCTTGTCTTGTCAATCACACACACCTGGTACTCATTCCCTCATTAGTCTGTGTATAAGTGTTCCCTCTGCCCCCTTGTCCTTTGTGAGTGATTGTTCGTTGTGAGATTAAGTAGCTCGGTTGAGCTACTCTTTACTTGTATGCAGCCAAGGTTGATTTTCCCTTGCGCTACATTATTGTACACTGAATAAACTCTTGATTTCTGTGTTTTACCTCCTACGCCTGACTCCGTCATTCACACCTCATCACAGAATCACTCACCCGCTATGGAGTCAGCGGGAGAAGAGCGCACACCTGGAATCGTGGCAAGGGTCCAGGAGCATTCCACAAGGGTCCAGGAGCATGGCCAGCTTGGGGGAAGCGATGGATCGGGTTCTTCAGGTCGTCCAACACCTGGAGAGAAGAGGAACCGATCTGTCGAGACCAGCTGGCTAACCGGATCCAGCCACCTACATCACAGCACCCGGAGGGATCCAGATATTTCGACCACGGGCATTCGATGGGACGCCGGCTCTATGTCAGGGATTCCTTCTCCAACTGGAGCTGTACTGCTCCAGTGTCAGGCCGGCGCCATCAGATCGAGAGCAGGTGTCTGTCCTCATTTCCTGCCTCTCAGGGAACGCCCTGGAGTGGGCCAACGCGGTTTGGAGAGGAGGAGCTACAGGGAGTTCTCCTGCCTATTTCGGGCGGTTTTCGAGAGGCGGGTGAGCAGCTGGTCCACTTGAGGCAGGGGACGAGGACAGTACAGGAGTTCGCGCTGGAGTTCCGGATCCTGGCAGCAGGGTCCGGGTGGAACGAGCGGGCCCTGATCAACCAGTTCCAGTGCCATCTACGGGAGGACGTCCGACGGGAGCTAGCCTGCCGTGACACCAGTTTGTCTTTTACCGAACTGGTGGACATGGCCATTCGTCTAAATAAGCAACCAGAGGACGTCCTGGAGGAGGTCTGCCCGTTCCCGCCCCGACCGACGCGGATCCAGAGCTCATGGAGCTGGGTGGTACCGCGCACCGAGAGAGAGGAGGACGACAGCGCCAGTGCCACTCGATTGGCACAAAGGGACATTCCACCACATGTTTTCGTCAGCGCTCTTTTGGGTCAGGAGGCGGCCGGCAGGGCACTCTCGCATCACCCCAGGTATTGAGCACCCACTCTTGTTCAGAGCCCTCTGCTGAGCACTGTGCTATACCCATATACTTCCCTGATCACATGAGAGTTCCCCAGTGTAAGGCGCTAGTCGATTCAGGCGCAGCTAGGAACTTTATGGACAAAACTTTTGCACGCCGCCAGGGCATTTCATTAGTTCCCCTATCCATTCCACGCCCCATCAGAGCACTTGATAGTCGACCATTAGGGTCCAGGTTGATAAAGGTAGTCATGGTACCAGTCACCATGATCACACAGGAGACGCATTGTGAGCAGGTCACTTTTTCCATCATTGAGTCTCCTGCTTTCCCTGTGGTGTTATGTATTCCATGGCTAACACTCCACAACCCCACTTTCTCATGGCCGCAGAGGGTTCTAGCGGGGTGGTCGCTAGAGTGTTAGGGTAGGTGTATGGGTGTTTCTGTTGGTGCAACCACAGTGGAAAGTCCAGACGGTGCCTCCACCGTGCGCATTCCCCCCGAATACCATGATCTGGCACAAGTCTTCTAAAAAAATAAAGCGACTAAATTACCACCTCATCTGGCGGGGGATTGCACAATAAACCTTTGTGTAGACGCTGTACCTCCCAGGAGTCATGTGTATCCCCTGTCGCAGGTGGAGACGGAGGCTATGGAGACATACGTCACCGAGTCCCTGCGCCAGGGGTACATATGTCCCTCCACTTCACCCGCCTCCTCGAGTTTATTTTTTGTGAAGAAGAAAGACGGCGGTCTGCGCCCGTGCATTGACTATCGACCACTGAACAAGGAGCCGATTAGATTTAGTTATCCTCTCCCCCTCATTCCGTCAGTGGTTGAGTCATTACATGGAGCACGCTTCTTCACTAAATTAGATCTCAGGAGTGCGTACAACCTGGTGCGTATCCGAGAGGGAGATGAGTGGAAGAGAGCATTCAGCACAACCAAGGGGCATTATGAATACCTGGTGATGCCCTATGGTTTGATGAATGCTCCCTCAGTCTTCCAGTCCTTTGTGAATGAGGTTTTTCGGGACATGCTTGGTCGCGATGTAGTGGTCTACATCGACGACATCTTGGTGTATTCCGCTACGCGCGCCGAGCATGTGTCCCTGGTTCGCAGAGTACTGGCCCGACTGTTGGAAAATCACACACACCTGGTACTCATTCCCTCATTAGTCTGTGTATAAGTGTTCCCTCTGCCCCCTTGTCCTTTGTGAGTGATTGTTTGTTGTGAGAGTGAGTAGCTCGGTTGAGCTCTTTACTTCTATGCAGCCAAGGTTGATTTTCCCTTGTGCTAGTTTCGTTCTGTCGCTATATGCGCTACATTATTGTACACTGAATAAACTCTTGATTTCGGTGTTTTACCTCCTGCGCCTGACTCCGTCATTCACATCTCATCACAGAGATGCTAATGTCAGACAAATGTGTGTCTATTTGTGGATTGGCTGGATGTTTGTCTTGTAGGTGTAATGGTGTGAAAGTAGAGGATGAATGGGGCCATTTGCGTTGGAGACACTGATGCTGGAAGAGTTGTAGCATCAGGTCTGCCAAGCCAAATCACTCATGTGGACAATATGCCATTGCTCCACTAACTTTACCCCCATCACCATCATATCTGCAAAGATGCTAAGCTATTAGTATAGTATCTCTGGTGGTGGCAATATCTAGAGGTTGATCTACCAAACCGTTAGCCCACCCAACTACCTCATCCCCATATTGTTATTTATTTTGCTAATTTGCACTCCAGTATCTCTATTTGCACATCATCTTTTGCACATCTATCATTCCAGTGTTAATACGAAATTGTAACTATTTTGCACTATGGCCCATTTATTGCCTTACCTCCATAACTTACTACATTCGCACACCCTGTGTACATATTTTCTGTTGTATTTTTGACTTTATGTTTTGTTTACCCCATATTTAACTCTGTGTTGTTGTTTTATCGCACTGCTTTGCTTTATCTTGGCCAGGTCGCAGTTGTAAATGAGAACTTGTTCTCAACTGGCTTACCTGGTTAAATAAAGGTGAAATTAAAACATTTAAAAATAAAAACAGGTTTGCTCAGTGCAGTACCTTTGTCTACCTTTTGCTGCAGACACTTGTTTAAGTCTGCACTTTCCTTTGTGCTGGAGATGGTAGTAAGTAGGTAGGCACGATTTTCATGTCAGGTCTATTAACTATAACTCTAAGAGCAGCCGTGCACATTTGCACACCAAACCCATGTTGTCACTTTCACTCCCCTCTTTATCCAGGGGAAATACAGCTGGGGGAATTTACAGGGCTTTTCAGTTAAATGGACATAAATCACTGGTTTCATTCCAACCAAATAATCACAGGCCATAAAGAGCTACTTGTCTCTTACCATATATTACCGCAAAGTTCCTATGACCAATAATGTGGCCATTCAGAGCTTGGGAAAACAGACCGAGACATTAGGAAGTGACATGTAATCATGTT